AGCAAAGAATGGATTTGCAAACTAATAGGATTTATGCTGCTAAATGAACTTGTTTTTTGTATCTGAATGGAAGCTTTAGGTTTCACTAAACAGCTCCTTTACATGCTAATACATGTGCGGCATGCAGGGAAGAGATACAGAGCTCGAGGGGCAGAACTTCCTCTGAATCTGTTTAGCGTCATAGCAGAGCTTTCTCTTGACCCAGCTGAGCAGAATAAAGCCACTGAGATCTGACATGGTCAATGCATGTGTCTTTTTTTTCTTCTGATATTTGATCTTGGCTGTAGGGAGAGAGAGGCTGGCAGTGTAATTATTGTTTGGGGATCTGAGCTTGGGGGGAGGGAGCACCAAATACCAACAGTCTTCTCTACGATAGATATTTTGGGGGAAGTAGACTGAGAAGGGAAATACACAATGCTTCATTTTCCATATAGTTTTATTTCTTAAAGTCCTTTGTGAATCTTCCTAACATCTTGCACAGCCATGTTACCAGAATGTGAGGTGAGCCATCCACACCCCCCTATTATGCTAAGCTGTGTGCTATGTTTGAATCCCACACCAGCCTGCAAGCAGCTTTCCTGATAAGAAAAATAAGATGATTCCATATTATTATTTATTGCTGAACAAAACATCTGAAGCATGATGATGTAGTTAATTTGAGAATACAGGATAATAACTGTAAGGGTAAAAATCATTCCTGAAATGTTGTAATTATCCTAATAACAAGCACTAAGGCTAAACTTTAAAGGAATCCAAGCAGGTTAATTTGTACAGTCAGGGTACCCAGATCACCTTAATTCTGCCCCTACCTTCCACCTAGGTCCTAGGAAGTGTTTCGACACAGGCAGGCATAACTCAGCTCAGCTACTCATAATAATGACATGAGTTTAGACACTTCTGGGTGGCAAATGCATGCTGGAGTCAAGGCTAGCATAAGATTATTATTTTCAACACTTGAGCAAGCTGGATCAAGGCATGGGTAGGGTGACACCTGCTGCAGTGACACTTCCCTGCGTGCCCATAGTGCCACCCAGCATATAATCATGCATGCTTGATGAAGACTTGCCATGCCTTTGTGGACCAGACAAGATGAAGCTGCCTTTTAAAGACTCATTTGTTGCTTTCATTTTTCCCCCTCTAGCAAGAAATGTTCTTGAAGAGCTTACAGCCTAATTATAGGCGAGAGGGACAATTGAGCATAACATGACAAATGGTGTGGGTGGGGGAAGAAATGGATAACAATAAGGTTGTGCCTTATCTATCTTGATGAGATTTGTGCTGGGAAGGTTTAATTCCAGGTCTACTTGCATGTATAGGTGGAACTGAGAAACTGGGGGGTGTGGGAAGGAAGTGGGGAGAGCAAGGGAAACAAAGATGGGAAGGCGGAGGGACAGGGAAGCTGTAAGAAGGGAGTAGGGGACTGAGATTAGGACCACGTAAGAGAAGGGAGCAACAGAGGGAGAGCTCAGGAAGATGAAAGCATTTACTTGGAGGATGCAGATGGAAAGCAGGCAAAGTGAGGTGAGTGTCACTGGGGCCAGTTCATGATGGGGCACCGGAACGCAAATGAAGTCAGCTGAACAGAATTCAGGATTTTGTAAGCCCCTCTCTTCCACCTTTTTCTGTCAGTAGCTCACAAGACCTGTCACTGGAAGGAGGTGGGTGAAGGGACTTCTCTCCCCTGGAGCCAGACTCCGTTCTGAGAATCTGAATATCCTTGTTTCCCCAGCAACAATCGGAGACTGTAAAAGTTTTAGATTCTGTGCCTGGCATGAGCTGTAGAAAGCCGAGGTGGAAAAGCTGCTACAAAGCCTTTTAAAGCTATAAGGGCCCCATGTGGATACAGCAATAATATTTTATTCTTCCAATATGCAGATCCCAGTGCACTTGGTAAACACTAAAGGGAGGAAGAGAGGAACATGTTCTCTTAATGTTACAGCTGGGCAAATTGAGAGACAGAGACTGAGTGGGCTTTTAAGGTCGCATGGAAGCCTGTGATACAATTGTAGTTGCTTGCAAGTCCCTGTTCTGTGGCTTGCCTTTCCTTGCAGGAGGATTTAAAGTGAGTCTTGGAGGTCAGAGCATGGAAATGGTTCCCTAGTGGGGTGGGGGGAAGAAAAATTAGCAGAGAGTTATACCAAACATCGTAGCATCTATTTCTACATGAGCAGAGATGGAGCAGACTGACAATTAGCAAGTGTGGGAATGGGAGAAAAAAATCCTGCCGTCATCTCTGTACAGCAGCACAATCTTGCCTTTATCTGTATATTGGAGAGAAGCTGGTCTGTTGGGGAGTGGCTTGAAGAAACTTTTGGGAGGGGGAAGAGCGTTCTTGTCTCTTCCAAGGTGGGAAGATGGATAAGATCCTTGATCTTCCAGTTTGGATAACACCAGTCTTCAACTGAAAATAACTTACCTTGCCAGCTTACTAGTCTAGAAAAATGTCCAGATCAGATGACTTCCCTGGAGGAGCATAGCGGTTGCCTCTGTCACCAGGATATTAAAAATCTATGCTGGCAATAGGGAGGTGACGGATGGGTTAACAGAAGCCAGCATCCCTCCTTTCTCACTGGTTCTTTCTGGAGTAACATGTTCACAAGAAGTTCCCTGTGGCTGAGTAAAGACTTTGCAACTTTCTTTCTGCCTAGTTATCACTACCACATGGGAGCTTGTACTGCCTTCTCTGGGTCCTGTCATTTAGCTAAAGGCCTCTTGAAGTCCATAGTGGACTGTGGTTGGCTGCCAGCAAATCGGGAGGGAGTTTGTACTATAGGCAGCAACTATCACAGACTTCATCAAACAATCTTATTTAAACTCTTGCTAAGCAATCATTAGACAAAACAACACCATTGGGTCATCTTTGGGACCACTGGGGAAGCTGGAAGGCTACCAGGCAAAGGTCTTTCCCAAGTACACGACTTGGCCTTTACTACTTGTTCTTGTGGTTCTTGTGCAGTGTCAAGGCTGTCAGGAAACGCAAGGTGACACCTCAAGGGATTAAGTAGCACAGGGCCCCTATAGGCTTATTAAAATAACACTGTCATGGACCTGCATGGGTTTGCTAGGCTTAGGCCTCAGAGCTAGTCATTTCTAGTACATATAATTTCTCCAGCAAATGTAGAGTTGGGTGCTAAGGGTATTGTTTTTATAAATACCTTGACCAGTTCCCCGTTTTGCATTGGCTTTAGATCTAAACTTTTACTCCTTTCTCACAAAGTTCATGCCCTTTGTGGGAGTAAGTCATTGAGATGGCTGTGAGGGAGGGAAGTGGGTTGTAAAATGTTACTCTTCCACCCTGGGCTTGACAGTTGTCTGGCAGAATTGTTGGTGTGTCTGGCAGTTGCTGAGCTTCACTTCCTTAGCAGGACCTCAATATTTGTGAAGGGGAGGCAGATTTGGTCCCCTTTTTATATTTCAGCCTGAATTTAATGCACAGCTTTCATAAAAAGCTCCCCAGGCCCTAACAGGAGGCTCTGTCCTCTATGTCCTCTTCTGTCCTCTAAAGCTAGAAAGGAGAGTTAGTTACTTCACAGGGGATCAAGACTAAGCTGATTTCTATAAATCTTCATTGTTCTTTTGCAGGTTCCCATTTCCCCTGCAATGCCCTTTTGAAAGGGGGCAGCGACACTTGTAGAGGAAAGAGAGAGGGTTGAAAGTAAGCTGTAATGCTGCACATTCAGGTCCCGTGCTCACTGGCCCATGCTTAAACATTCTTGTTTGCACACAGGTATTTTTGAACAGTTGGGGGCCTTAGTCTGGAGAAGCAATGGCGACGTGTAGGGGGGTGCACATGCACCCCATGACCAGCCATGCTTGCTGCTTAGGCAGTGGGCGGGGGGCAGGCAGGAGCACCGGTGCCCCCCCTGCAAGTGCCAGTGAGGAAGTGGAGTGCCGTGACACTTCAGGAAGCAGCCCCAGTGATTGGCTGTCTCGTGATTGGCCACAGGGGATCTCTCCGTCCCCAGTCAACAAGATCGCTGGAGGGTGGGTGGGGCCCCCCGCCCCCCCCGACTAAGGCGGCATCAGTCACCCATGCTGGGAAGAGAATTGAGGCCTATGTACTACTCAAGAGACGTAATGGCTTGGATCTCTCTTAAGGGACAAACATTCACTCACCCTCGCCTATTGCTGACGCTTGCCCGTGGCTGAATTTCCTCCTTTCTGCACTGTGCAGAGTAATCGGAGAGGCTATGGCAGACAGGTAGAGCAAGCTGTGTCCTTAACAGGATACATACAGCAGGCTCCTCTGTCCTTACTCAGTGCAGGATACAAACCAGAGTCCTGCCCCCCAGTCTTTTCTGCAGGGGTTCACTTGCTTTGGATGAAGCGAGTGTTAGTTGAACTGATTCTCCTTGCGATTGAGGGGTTAATCTCAAAACTAAGGAGTTAGGGGCATTCCCCAGGGGGCCCATTGGGAGGTTTTAGTAGTAGGTTTGTGCACTTGACATTTAGTGTTTCAGCTCAGGAACAGGAGCGCAGGGAAGCAGTCTGAGGAAAACCTGAAATTTCTCTCTTGGTCAGTAAGTCTATAAAATCCATCTGATTGCTGAATTGGTGAAGGTGCAATCCCTGCTGTGCTGAGTAGATGAGGTTCTTTGCCCTAATCCACTGCACTCATGAAAACAAGATTGAGGAAACATAGCCCTGGATTGCAAGTAACTGCAGGAGCCCTATAAAAGTATTGCAGGGAATCTTTAACACTTGGTAATAAAGGCAAAAATGAAGGTGCATAGACTATGATTAGACACGGAAGAATTTGTTAGATTGCAGAAAACCTCTATTGTAGCTGCTAAGGGGTGGAATAAGGTCTGTAGTTACAGCATAAATTTGTTAAACTTGGGCCTGGACTGGACATATGTCTAACCGTCGATGATCCTGCATTTACTGAATGTTGATTAAATAAGTGTCATCACCAGGCATCGAGGAAGGGAGCTGGCAGACCAGCCTATGTTATTTTCCTACCCCATTGTTCTGTGTCTAATATAGGTTTTTCTCTACAGATGCTTCATTCAGTGGGACGCCACCTAGCTATGCCTATGATGCTGACCGTGCCGAAGAACAGCGGCGACACCATGACATGATGCCCTACATTGATGACTCACCGTCATCATCACCACATCTCAGTTCCAAGAGTCGGGGCAGCCGAGATACACTCTCTTCAGGGTCTCTGGAGTCCACAAAATCAGTGAGTCCTTTTAGTCATCTCTTTGCCTGGAGATAGCATGGCTTAGGGGAGAGTGTTTCAAGGAAGGGGATGTATCAGCAACAGACAAGAACTAAGACCACTAGTGTGGAAAGAAGGACTGATCGACCTGTGAGTGGTGGTCTGGAAGCCTTTATGGCTTTCATATATTTGTCTCACTTGCTAGGGATTTGTATTTGCAAATTTGGGGGCCAGGTTTTTGTTTTTTTCAGTTATACTGATATAAATAACCCTAGTGAATAAGTAAGGTTGCTTAATGAAGCAGGGTTGTAGAATCTATCTCAACTACCAGCTGTAAGAAGATTATACCTAGGAAGTACATGGTAATGGTACTATGGAATGTGTTTTGAAAGAGTATTTGAATTGCATGTAGATAACCACATGCTTTGACAAGCATTTAAACATGGCAAAATCTATTTAATTTGAACACTGGATGACAGGTGGAATTAAAACTGCCAACCTACTAAGCTTTTAAGTGTAGTGACCGTGTACATGAAGAAGCTGCTTTTGGTGAAAAATTTTATCTGCACTTAATAGCTATTTAATGTGACCATCTATAATAGATTAAACTATCACAATGGCTTTAAAATCTACTAATCTGACTTCCTGCGTGACAGAGACCATAGAACTTTCTACCTCAAATTCAGTACTTGGTCTTGAACTGAAGCTTATCTTTTAGAAAAACCTTGGGGGCGGGGTGTATATGTATATCTTATGTATACTAGCCAAATGCCCTTCAAGAATGATGGGGGGTGGGCACCCACTGCCCTCCCTACACTGCTGTCCCAGTCTGTCCCTGCTGTTGCCCATCATAACTGATTGGGGGGGGGGCAGAGCACCACCACCCAGCACCCTGCAGTACCACCGCTCTGCCTGTGGCCCTTTGCGCCTCCCCCACCCCTACATCTGTCCCCATGCACCAGAGTGGGGGGGGCAAGGCCAGTGCTAAGCTGTCAGCACCCCAGGAGGCAGTAGCACGGGGTGCTGTTGGATGCGGCAGCAAAGTTGGATCTGCCTCCAGCTCCATGTGCCAGAGTGGGGGGAGGGGGGTGAGGCCAGCACTGCTGGCCTCACCTACCTGCTCCGGCCCCTCAGCTCAGTCCGTATCATCATGGGGGGTGGGAGCCAGGCAGGGATGTGGCCCCGCATCTGGCCCTGCCCCCGCTTCTCATCTGGCCCCATTCTTCCCCCCTCCCCCCTGCCACTTCGGG